GCGTCGGTGTGCTGTGGTCATGTGCGAGGAGTGTGAGCGGGCTCTGGTTGTGTGAGGGGACCCTGCGTGGGATGGGACAGCTGTGTGCTGTGTGTGTGAGGCCATGTGCACCCTGCGGTTGTGCGAGGGCTGTGGGGGTGTGGGAGGGGATGCACGCACTGTGGCTGGGCGAGGGGCGTGTGCACACTGTGGTTGTGCGAGAGGCACGGGAGGTCTGTTCTATGGCTGTTGGGAGTGGGACGGGGTGTGCACATGTGGTTGTGCAAGGGGCGCATGAGGTGTGTGCCATGGATGTGGGTGTGTGGGAGGGCTATGCTCACACTGTGGTTGTGCAAGGGCCGGGGGAGGTTTGTGCTGTAGTTGTGAGGATGTGGGAGGGGCATGGGCACAGGTGGCTGGGCGAGGGGGTGAGCACACATGGCTGGGCGAGGGGCGTGCGCACACGGCTGATCGTGGGGCGTGCACACACAACTGATCGAGGGGCGTGCACACACAGCTGGGCGAGGGGCGTGCACACACGGCTGGGTGAATGGCCTGTGCACACACGGCTGGGCGAGGGGCGTGCACACACGGCTGGGCGAGGGATGTATGCACACACGGCTGGGTGAGGGGCCTGTGCACACTGGCAGCTGGGCGAGGGGCGTGCACACATGGCTGGGCGAGGGGTGTATGTACACACAGGGGGTCTGTGCACATTGGCGGCTGGGCGAGGGGCGTGCACACACGGCTGGGCGAGGGGTGTATGCACACACAGCTGGGTGAGGGGTGTGCACACTGGCGTCTGGGCGAGGGGTGCAGAGGCCCCGCGTTGCACGTGGGGTGCCCTGGCGCGATGCCCCCTGGGGGCTGTCTCTCTCCTCACTCACCGCGCGGCGATGAAGAGCGTCTGGTTGAGCCGCAGCATCCTCTGGAAGTCCAGGCCGAGCTGGGCCGTGTCATTGTCGCCGGCGAGGCCTCGGAAGCAGGGGTACGGGGACGTCGCTGGTGGCAGAGAGTAGGGCGGCCATTATACGCTTCCACCTCCCCCAGCACGGGGGTCCCCCCCCCGCACGATGGCCACCAGTGACATCCCAGCACAGCAGCTGAGGGGAACCCCATAGTGTCCTTCATACGTCACCCCCCGCACCCTACTGACAGACCCTGTTCCGGTCCCAGGGGTTCATTCCAGACTTGGGGAGACACCCCAGCCGGACACCCCAGCCCAGGCGGGGGCCACCCCATTTGCTCTCCCTCTGGCGGGAAGGGGGGGACACGTCATGATCTCGGCAGCAGGCCATGTGGTCTAGTGGCCAAGGCCACGAAGTGGCTCGCCCAGTGTCCTGTCCTGCAGGCGGCTGGCTCGGGCGACATGAGCGTGGCAGGTCTCAGCCCAGGCCCGTGGTTCGACACCCGTGGGCTCCCTGCTCCGGGGGGCAGCGTGGAGGGCGCGACCGGGCTGGCTTACTCGGCAGGCCCACGGTGCTGAGGGGAGCGAGGTCCTTGGGGAAGGAGAGCGCGGACGGCAGCAGGCATCGGCCCAGCAGGAGGAGCAGAGCGGCCGCAGCAGGGCAGGAGGGGGGCATCCTCGTGGCCTTCCCAGCCGGAGAGCAGAGCGGAACCGGCTGGGCCTTACGACTGGACCATCGCTCGCTCGCCCATCGGCAGGACCTGTAGAGATGGGGGGGGTGTGGCTGTCACTGTCACATCAACCTCGGAGCCCACGCTGCTGGCTCCACGCAGCTCCTTCTCCTCCTCTCCAGAACACGGAGGCGCCTCCCCACCGTGCCTCACAAGCCCTCGTTCCACCCCAGAGCCAGGGCTGTGGCAACGGAGCTGGGGCAGGGGGAGCTACCCGCAGGCTCTGCCTCCCTGCCGACGCGCTCCAGCCCTGCCTTCCGGGCACCCCTTCTACTTAAGCTAGCGCCCCCCTCAGGTTGCTTCTGGTTGATGCCTCGTGGGGCACGGCACAGGAAGGACGGGGGGGGGGGACAGAGAGGCCTGGGGTGCAGAACAGCTGGCCCTGGGTCGGTCCAACCGGGCACAATGGGGAGGGAACGGGACGCACACGGGTGCCGTGAGTCAGGCTGGGCAGGCTCCAGAAAAGCCGGTAAGGCCAAATGGGAGCAAGATGGTCAATCCGCGCCCACAACCTCCGCCCCCCCGCAACAAAAAATTAATTTAAGGGTCTATTGGTAACAGCAGAGCCAAAAGGCCAATCGGAGGGAAAGGCAGACACAGGCGATTCACCAGCATTGACTCACTAAAGCCCACAGCATCCCTGCGAAGGCATCACCCCTTCGTTATACAGATGGGGAAACTGAGGCAGACGGGGGGGGGTGACTGCCCCAGGTCATACATCCGGTCAGCTGCAAATCTTGGGAAAGAACCCATAACCACTAGATCACACTCCCCTTCCTTAGAGCCCAGAAGCCCTGACTCCTACGTCCTTGCTCTAACCAGAGCTGGAGAGAGAAGCCAGGAGTCCTGATTCCCAGACCCTCCTGCTTTGCCTCTAGACCCCGCTGCCCTCCCAGGGCTGCAAACAGAATCCAGGAGTCCGGATGCCCAGACCTTGTAGCCTGAGTCTTATTTACATTAAGACTCCCCTGCTTCAAGGCCTCTTCATTTTGCCCTGGCTTTCCCAGCCCACCCACCCCCCGGCTCTAACCACTAGACACCAGACCCAACACCAAGGGGCCCTACAAGCAGCCACATGGGATTTGGGGATGCTGAGGACTGCTGAAAGCACAGAACGCCCTGCCCACGGTGCACCCGTCCTCAGAATACCCGGTCGGCGCGGGTGCTCTGGGAGCACGGGCTCCGCCCAAGCGGGGACGGGCAGGGGCGTGAACACCCCCGCCCCCCCAGCCCCCACTTTGTCCTGCGGGCTGGAGCTCTCCCCAGGCCAGGTTATTAACAGGGTACCAGACCCCCACCCAGCCCAGCTCGCATATGGGGCTTGCAAGCATTAGAGAGCAGCAGCTGGAGCAAGGGGTCGAGTTACAATGGGAGCTGCAGTCTAAGATCTGGGTTGTGGGGGGAGGAAGGGAGCGATCAGAGGGGGAAGAGCACGGGGGGGGCGAGAAGCAACCCCATTTCCCCCCTCCCCCGATGCCAGAGGACCCACACCTCTTCCCCAATCCCCTTTCATTTGGATCATGGCTAACCCCCTACATCAAGGTGCTGCTGCATGAAGTAGTAACAACAACCCAAATACATGGTTTCCGCCTTCAGCACCCCCACTGAAAACCTGTTCCAGCACCACTGATACCTGGGCGTGTGTAAGGCGCATGTGTGTGTGAGTGTATCCCTGTGTGTGTGAATGTATGTGTAAGCGGTGCGTGCTAGGTAGACCGCTGCGTGTGTGTGTAATGGTTGTGTATGTGTATACCAGTGAGTGTGCATGCCTGTATGTGAGCAGGTGTGGGAGTGTGTAAGGGGTGTGCGTGTATAACTGTGTGTGTGAGGTGTATAAAGTGTGTGTGTGTCTATGTTTATATGTGTGTAAGGGTTGTGTGTACAGGCTGTGTGTGAGGGCTGTGGGGGATGTATAAGGTGTGTATGTGTCTATGTAAACCTGTATGTGTAAAGATTGTGTGTGTATACCTGTGAACGGGTGTATAAGAGGTGTGTGTGAGTCTATGTATAAGTGTGTGTGTACAGGCTGTGTGTGAGGGGTGTATAAGGGGAGTTGTAAAAGCTGTGTGTGTGAGGGGGCGTTGGAGTGTATAAGGGTGTGGGTGTAGAAAAGGGGGTGTATGGGCTGTGTTTGAGGGGGTATACAAGGACTGTGTGTGTG